AGCAGCTCTTGTCAAAGTCACCAGTGACCTTCAAACTGCTAAATCAAATGACCAATTTTCAGTTCTCGCTGGACACAATTTGTTACCAGCAACAATTGATCTCTTGCTCTTTCATGAAACACCTTCTTTATGTGGTTGCTGTGACACTATTCTCTTTTGGTTCTCCTGCTGTCTCATTGACTGATCCTTCTAGCGTCATTTTCTGAATCATCTTAATCTTCCTCGTTTCTAAGCATTGGAATGTTCCTGGGCTCAGATCTCAGACTTCTCTCTTCCATCTATATTTATCTTTCTAGTTGATCTTATCAGATTCCATGGCTTTCACTATTAGCTACAACATGATGAATCCAAAATTTACATTTCTAGCTCCAACTTACAGATTTTACTTCTGAAACTGATCTGCATACTTGTACAGTGAATATAGTCTTATATAGCTAACCCCAAATTTTCCTACTTGGAGGCTTAACAGGTATCTCTAACTTAGCAGGTAGAAAACTAAGCTCTTGATATTCCCTACTACAACTTACTCTTCCCACGATCTCCCTAAAACAGTAAATAGCAACTGCTATCTATTGGTTACTTAGTCCTCAAAGCTTAGGGTCCTCCTTGACTCCTCTTTCTCTTACACGCCATGTACAGTCCTTCAGCAAATCCTGTCAATTCTATTTTCAAATATATATCCTGAGCCTAATCCCTTTTTACTACTGTCACTGCTCCCATGCTATTCCATGCCAACATTATATCCCATGAAGATTTTGCAATAACCTCTAACATAGTCTCCCTATAACCACTCTTGCTCCGCTGCAGACTAATTTCCATATTGTAGTCAAAGATGTGTTTAAAATGTGTCAGATCACATACTCCTGTCTCAAAATACTTCAGATAGCTTTCCATCTAAAGTATTAAGTTCTCAGTGCCCCAAATGACTCAGCTCTATACTACTTCCCTAACCCCAACTCCTAATACTCAGACTGTTGCCCACTCTGCTCCTGTCACACCCCCTATCTTGCTCTTTCCTAACTTCAGCAAGCAAGGTCCATTCCCAAAGCCTTTGCACACACACTTCATTTTGTCAGAGACACTCTTTTCTCAGGTTGCCACGTGGCTCCTTCTTCGCCTCATTTAACTCTCTGCTTCAATTCCACTTTTTAGAAAGGCTTTCTTCTGACTACCTATGCTCTTTATTCTCTATCCTCCTTTATTTTTATACTTTATATCACTTATCAATAATATAACTTAGTTTATATTTATTTGTTTATTGTCCAATGTCTCCCCATTGCAGTTCTAGAATGTAAGATCCATGCGGGCAAAAACCCGATCAGTTCTGTTCAATACCTGTTACTCTAGAACCCGAAATACCTAGAATATAGTAGGTGCTCAATAAATATTTGAATACATTAATAAGTAAATAAACATGGAGCTCAGTTTTAGATGATGAATGAAAGCGTCATATCTGGAAACCCTGGGTTCACCTGAAAAAACCCAGTCATCTGCATGTGTCCAGTGGCATCAAGCTGACTAAAATGACTCCTGGTGTATAAAGCAAACTCTGATGGACAGCAAAAATAATAGTGAACCAAGGCTACTAATGTCCCTGGCAACTATCCACAGAAGATCAGCAAGATACAGCAGGAGCCAGCTTGGTGTCTGTGTGTGATATTAGCCCATATTTCTCCTTCCAGAAAGAGGAAATGCATCCACATAAAGCAAATGAGGTGAAAAAAAGGCTGACAATGGATTATAAATTAAATTAGTGGCATTCTCATTGGTTCATGCTTATACAGAAAAAGGACGTTAAGCTGGAGCTAAATGGGGTCATTTCAGGCGTTTTTAAAAAATTATTACAAGCTGGATTTTTCTCTCTGGAATCTTTTCTAGAGAGAATATATATGCCTATAATTATTTTTTTTTCTAAACCTAAATCTGGAACATTCAATTTGACAAACATAAATTTGCTTATGGTGACACCAGGACAAAATATAAAAAGTGGTACAGGCTTAAAAAATGCAGGATATAAAAAGTACAGTATATATGCCTCTGAAATGACATTGGGGATATAAAGTGGACGAATGATCAGAAAAAAGAACAAGCAGATGCAGTACAGAAGGAAGATAAGTAGTCAGACATAAGATGGCTGAAGAGCAGAACACCATAAGTGTCACCAGATTCAGAGACAAATTTTGATGAGGATGAATGGTTTGAATCCTGGGGCAGAATGGAGTGAATATTCACTACCTCAAGGAAATCCTTGGAGGAAAATAGGAGTAGAAATAGATGTTTACAAAAAGAGTTGGCCTTCTTTCCCTTAGACCCAACTAAATTTGGATTATGTACTTTTGACACTATGTAAACTGTAATTCATCAAAGGACGAGTTTCAACCAACACTGTGTGTACCACTAGAAGATATACACCTGCCAAACTCAACTAACTGATGCTCAGCAGCACATTCCACCTTGCCACCTTCACACAGATGTGCTTTGTGTGTCTGAGGCTCTGCAGGCAGGGCTGCGATTTTTCTACTCTACAGCCTCTGTCTCTCCCTCTCTCTCCTCTCTCTCTCACACACACACACTAGAAGTCAGCAAAGGAGAATGCAGATTAGAGGTTTGAGGATAATATATACTTTAAATGTTTCTATAATTGAATGATCGAATTCTAACTTCAATTGAAGAATGAAATGAATAATATTGTAGGATGCTCCAAATTTAATACTGAAGAGTCCAAGTCCTTAATGTAATATATGAAGAACTAGGACGAAAGGACTATATTTAACTTGCCCAATAAAACGTACAAAGCTGGTGGGGAAGCTGGAATGAAAACCTGAATTTCCCAGCCCTGTGGAATATTCCTTTCATTTCACTAGTTCTCAATCTCAGTACCTTTACTATTATGACCATAATAAATAAATAAGTCTATATTTAGAGGTCTCTTGTTGTTCTGGCTTCAAAACATAGCAGAAGAGTTCCTTTCAGAATATTTTAAGCACTAGAATTGCAGGACTGCTGAAGTGTAACCATTCATCAGGCTTCCTAGAGTCTGCACCTACACTGTCCAGGGTTGATTCATGGTTTTAAAGATCACCGAGAGAGGAAAAACTGTGAAAGGTGTGAGTTTCAGGGTTTGACCTTTTCCTCCTCATAGCTTTCAGTATTTTTATTACTTCTGTAAGGATTTTGTGATTTTGCAGAGTCTACGTTACAATTCAGCATCACTAGGGATGATTCTTCTCCTTAGTTACATGGGATATACAATTCTATATATTCTAGAATTTTCCTGATAAATCTCTCCATTACCTAATTAGATTGCCATTATTTTTAGAGAAATCCCTAGTAGGCTCAAAGGCGTCTCATTTGTCAATCTTGAATGAGCCAGGTTTCATCTGTGAATCATGCTATATGATTCTTATGAATCCTATATTATTTCAAGTCAAAAGACTGAGACCAAAGAACATAACAAGTATAAATGGCTTAAATCTAGAATCATCCTTGTCACTGATGAGAAAAATTTTTCATATAGTTCTTTGGGAAAAAGGAAAACACTTTTCGTTAACAAGACAAGCATGTATTTAAAGATGATATGCAAAACCCAGGAGGACTTTCAGTTTCTTGAAACCAAGGGCTGCTTCCTATTCATCACTGAGTCCACTGCACTTAACACACCAGGTTAATTACTCAAACTTGATGATACTTATCGAGCATTTACTATGTGCTATTAGCCTTAGGTATATTCTATTCTACTCAAAAAACAATTCTTTGAAGCTGGTACAGTTTTTATACTCATTTTATACATTTTATACATCTAAGAGGAAACCGAGGCTCACCAAGATGAACTAACTTAGGCCACAATAAAGCTGAGTTTCCAGATAAAGAAGTTTGACCCCAGCACCTACAATATAAATCTACTTTGCAGTGTTGTTCTTAAAAATATTCGTTAAGGTGTAAACAAAAAGTGCCTGGGTCAGCTAGAAGACTTTCTGACCACATGCCTGTGTCTTTTTAATTTAATAATAAAGATGTAATTTAGAGCTGATTTTAACCTGGGGAGTGAAAAGTGAAATTATTTTATAGCTGAAGACTTTGCTCATCTCAATTCATCACCTAGAGGCTATTTTTACAAGTCATTCTCTAAATCATTACATGTAGGGAATTATATCACTTCTGACAGAAGTCTTCTGCAGTACCACATATATCACCATAATCATCTCTTTTCTGGTAAGTTCCATCATTCTTGTTCCTGAGCCATCACTCACTTTTCTTTCCAGACTTGATCTTCTCTTTTGCAAGAACACACACACACACACATGCACACACACACACACACACCCCTTTTTCTAGATCATTTATGTATGACTAGGAGAAAACTTACAAGAAGAGATAATCTTGACTGAGGATGATCATTAACTATTTTCACCAGAGATAAAAACAATTATAGGACACATATTTAAGTGGCTGCTGAAAGGCTTTAGTTTATATAGAGGTGGGGAAATGGAGTATTTTCTTTGCAAAAACTTTGAAATTAATTAAGCAAAGTTTAATGAATGAGTTCTTGGGATTAGAACATATCAGTGGTTCTCAGAATTTTCATCCCATGATATTCACGCTTTACCACCATCAACTTGAGGATGCTCATGAATATGAATGACAAAATTTTGTTTGAAGTAGGTTTTGGATCTCTGTAACTCTGTATCTGATAATCCCCAGCTTATAATTTTTGAAGCTGAGTAGAGAATTCCCAATATGGTGTTTAAAATTTAAATTTAAATTTTAAAACATTTGACATCATTAAAATCCCTGACAGAAATGGGATGATGGCTTGGTCAGTGTATAATTTCCTGAAAGGCCCAATAAGGTGAAACAGCCACCACTCCAAGTAAAATTTTACATAATCACACAGACACACCAATGCAAAATTAAAACAGATTTCCACCTGAGAATTCAAGAAATGTACTACCTTGCCCCAAACCGGTAAGAATCCGATTACCACAAGGATGGATAGTTACCCATGGCGAAGAACGGGATTCCCAGCAGGGTGGAGTTGTACTTCCCATCAGTGATGAAGAAGATCCCTGCTGCAGTGACAATGGAGATGCACACTGTGAGCACCCCCAGGAGGCCTAGGAAGGGCTTGCTGCGCAAACAGTCCTTCATGGAGCTGGAGAGGGTGGCTGTGGTCAGGATCAGCACGAGGCTCACCAGGACCTTGCTCCTGGCCAGGATGCTGGTCTTATGAAAGTCTCTCCAGAGGCTAAAGGATGCTAAAGAGTAGAGCTGGAGGTCCTGGTGCTCCTCCTGGAGCTTCTTCATAAGCTTACAGAACTCATTCTCCCACTTCTCCCCTATGAGGTCCTGGGTGGCAGAGCCATACGTCTGGAGGTAGTAGGTGATTTGAATGGCTCTGGCTGACTTGACCCGCTGGTCCTTGCTGTTTGGCACTTCCACTACCCCGCCCAGTTGGTGTCCAATAAAACTGTTCCTCCCATCCTTGAAAACAGAAAAAGGGGAAACTTAAGTTACCAGAGGGACGCACATTCCAGAGAACAGATTCTTACTCTAAGTGAATGGGCACAAAGAAGGCAGAGGTATGCTCTAGCAATTGTGGAACTGATGTGGGTGGAATGGCATGTTAGGATTTTATAGTCAACCTTTTGGAGCTACATGGGATACCATGCAAGATGATCAGGATTAGAACAGATGCAAAGAGTGTTATGAAGCTATACAAGACTCGCCACATGCATAGGAAAATGTACATAAATGTTATTTTGATCTCATCCATATCCTCATTCCCACTATTTCCTTCTGTAACAATCTATGATAACTCCTTTATGCAGGATCAAGTTTTATGATTCAGTTTCAGCCAAAAGTGAAGCATGGCATGAGTGAACAACATTTCAAAAATTAAAATAATAATTCATTTAATAAATATATGCTAAACTTTCTAGGACTAACACACATACCTACACCAACACACACACAAACACACACAAACATTACACACATCCATACTCATTCGTTATATTCTGGGGGTACAACTGTGTATTGCAGACTAAGTAGAAGAAAATACTGTTTTTTACAATTAATTTAATAGTGTTGAAATGTTTTCTAAATATGGTATAGCACCTGTTTACTCATTATAACCTTCCCTCCAATCACCTGCCTCAGTCATAGGTTGACCTTTTCCTATCAGAAGACAACGGACAACCCCCCAAATGAGACCAATAAGATTTCAGCTGGGGTTGTTACAAGTCATCTCAATTTCAGAATTTCACATGAGGTAGAGTAGACAAGATGACAAGAGTAGGATATTTATAAGAGAAGCAATCACGCCTCTTTAAAGCCCATATAGACAGTGAGTTGCTTAAACAGGTTCAGAGCAGTAATCTCAACCAGCGTAACTTAACACTCAGGCAGAAATCCCTGACAGCCATCTCCATATTGTAATCAATTTGGATACTTTCTTTTTGCCACAAGGGTTATTTACTTCAATGGCAATGTCTGTCAGATGGAATATTGAGCCCAAGAGCAACTCTATTGCAAGATAGAGTATAACATTGAAAACGTGTGGCAGGTACTGGGCGAGACCAGGTACAATGGTAAATTTATGCCATAAATAGATCAAGTGTTTGCCAGATCAGGCAAGAATTTTATCTCATGAGGATATCAAAGAGTAGAGTCAGTGCAGGAAATTATTCTTTCTAGAAGGGCAGTGTGGAATGGCAACAAACCCAATAGCGTGATAACCATGGTTGTTTTCACCAAACTGTGAGGCCACTGTATCCTCAAGTAGACATATATAACAATTATTGTGAACCTGTTTAGTCCAGACATCTATATCTGAGGTACTTGTTTGTAATCATATTTTGAATATGCACCAAAGCAACTTTAATACTTGAGACTATGTAGCAAACACAAAAAGTCTGAGAAATTTACAGACAATACAAACGCTGTTAGTAGATCATCAAGAATTGAGAGAAGGAAATTTCGTGGTCGTTCCACATACTCATTTTCCCCCTACAAGTTAGATAAAAACAATCTTTCTCTAACTCAACCTGACCAACACTAAAAGAACAATGTATTTCTGTATGTATTTGATTTGAGGGTTATTGTTTCCTTTGTTTGGTGTATCTCTGACTTTCAAGGCATCTCTGTAAGTTTCCTTATAAAAATCAAAGTGAAATTCCAGCCATAGGCTCCCAAGGCTCTCTCATGATTAAACCCCATGCAGTCCTTTGAGGAGCTGCAAGTGAAAATAGAGGAAAGCTTCAAGGAAGGAGTGGGAATCCTGTCTGGCACTGAGAGATTGTGGGATATGGTTTCCACTCTTCCCGTGCAGGTCACATTGCTCCTCAATTAGGCTTGTTTATTTTTGTTTTAAGCTTGGTCTAATATTTAACTCCACCTTTGTTTCTACTTCTTTGAAATCCTGTCTGTGATGTTGACTCGTGCTTCTGATTATTTGAAAGAGAAAGTATTTTAAAAGTTTTATTTATTCACTTTAGAATGTGTAGTTCCATCTGTCTTTACTCATTTCGGTCATCAAAAAGATTTCTCAGGGATCTTTAACAGCAGAATAAAGATTTATGCATCCCTCAGGCCTCATTTGGAGATTATAGTGGGTCAAAGAGGGTGCTGATAAAGTGTCTGGACAAAAGTCAAAATTTTAAAGAAGGCAAAATTTAGATTTTTAAATAACTGCTCTTCATTGGGTTTGGCTAGCTGTTCACTTCCCTTTTGAAGTTGTCTAATTTCCATTTTTTATAAAAATTACTTCATAAAAGATATGCTTTCATCCTATTACATTTAAATCAATGTAGCAAATAGAACGAATGAATTTCTGTCTCTTAATCTACTCTATTCCATGCACCAGAACAATAAACAAGGTCTGTGGATGTCCTTGACTCAAGCACTCTTGAAAGGTCTGCGTCTTGTCCAAGCCATTGGCCCAATCACCCTACTCAGTATGGTCCTGAGAAATACACTTTTATACGTTATTTGTAAGGAAAAAATTCTACTGTCTTGTAAGGAATGGTAGAAGAGTTCATTAGTTTTCCAAGCTAACCAATTTATAGGTACTTCTACGTAGAAGAAACAAAGAAAGAATATAACATATTATAATCACCCTCTGGGAGGAACTTTTCTGGACTTGTAAGGTCAAGTGGGATTAATGGAGAGACACTTAATCAGGAGTCATTCGATTTGGGTTGCAGTGCGCATCTCACACTAATTGGATAAAAAACCCTTGGCTGGTTCATTTCCCCTTCTAGGTCTCAGCTTTCTCACCTCGCAAATGAGTAGATATGAGTATATGAGTAAACATGAGTAAATGATACGGAAGAAAATTTTCAGCTCTATTATTCTAGGAAAATATCATCTATAAAGTTACTCCGAGGAGATCTGAATGTCAGAAATTATACCATTATAACTAATAGAGCCATAAATTGATTATTTTTCCATCTGGACAAAATCTTACCAATCACCAGGTAGAACTGTTTTGTTTACTAGATGAGCAAACACAGAGGCTCAGAGAGGGCAAATCTGTTAGTTAAAGTTAGGAACCCACGGTTTCAACCCAGTTCTTCTGATTCCAAATCTAGCAATTTCTAGAATCTTACGGGGGTGATTTCAGCAAAGCCACTTTGGTTCCTGCTCCCCACTAAATGTTCTTTATCATTAAAACTTATTTCACCTACAGATCCTCTTTTTCAACATTTTCCTCTCCACTCAACCAATTGCTTAACATTTAACACATACGTAGATCCAACTTCTTCCTTTCCTCATAAAACCTCCTACACAAATTCTAAAATTCCGTTAAGTGCAGAAATCGCCTTTATGTCCCAATGAAGTTAAATCTTAAAATAAAGATATGACAAGATGATAACACATCGCTTTCAATGCCATCCTGTTTCAGTGTTTCACTGAATTGAACTGACATCATTAACATGGGATGAATTTAGGTCCCTAACTCATATTTTTGTGTCCACTTCTGCTCCTCCTCAATCTATTCTCCACACTGAAGCCAGAGCGTACTCGTACATTCTAAATGAAACCACATCATTTCTGAATCTAAAACCTTCTACCGGCTTCCACTTGCACTAGGAATAAAACAAGAATCCCTTACCAGACCTGCAAAGCCTTGAATGGTCCATTGCTGGGCTGAGACCTCTGACCTCGTATATTAACCACTCTTCTCTTCCTGAGCTCTGCTCCAGCTTTTCTGGCCTTTCTTGCTACTCCTGGAAGACACCAAGTTAATTTCTACTTTGTGGCCTTGCACCTGCCATCATCTGTGCCTGGAATGTTTCCTCTATCCTTCTACGGCCAGAACTACTTCCTCATTGAAGTCTTAGTTTCAAAGAAACCCCTTAAACCACACCATCTAAACTAAACACCTCCTTCTCAGCAATCATCCTATCACATAGTCTTACTTGGTATTTTTCCCACTAACCATTTCTACCTGAAATGATCTTATTTAACCATTCAATTGCTCCTTTTCTGTCTCCTCCACTAGAACGTGTGCTCATTGAGAACTGGCACCATTCCTGTCTTGCTCACTTGTAATTTCCCTGTGCCTAGAACAAAGCCTAGTATATAATAAACACTCCATAATATTTAACTCAGTGAATTCCCCGTGAAATATATATAACTAATCATGGTTACTTTTAGAAACTACTTCACTAAGAATGGGAAAAGTAAGAGACAGTTCAAATTGTCTGAGGACAGTAGGAACTCAGATGAAGAGAGGCAGATATAGAAATCAGAGGCCGGTACAGAAAAAAAAACTTTATCCTTTCTTTCAATCTGCTTTGTCCAGTGTAACCTTTCCGCAAAATATGTTTCCTCTTTTATTTTCACTGCACACCAAATGTGTGTAAGTTAGTCAACCAACAGAGAGACTTGGCAAGTACCTGGAAAAAGGATCTGTAAGCATCATGGCCTGGAGGCAAGAATAGCACAAGATGCTAAGGAAGTGATGAGATGTGAGGCTACAGACAAGCAGGGCCTCTTCTTTAGGGATAATAAAAGCCTTATATGAGGAGTTGGACTTGATTGTCTTGCAATAGGAACTACTGGTGAGTTTTAAGCAGAGGAGTGGCATGATTTACTTTTTGGAGTGCTCACTCTCCTTGCATTGTAGAACGTGATTTACAGAGTAGGGATGACTCTAAAGAAAAGAGCTCAGGTAGGAAGTTTCTGCTGTATTTCAGGTTCTCAATGCAGCACAAAAAAATTTCAGCCAAGGCAGTCCCTGGTAGGTACAGTGTTCGAAGGTGAGTCAATGGAATTACAGGTCACAGTGCTAGCTCACGGCCATGAAGCGTCTCATCACATTATCTCTCCAGGAAAAGTAACGCCACAAAAAAATATCTTGAGTTCTTTAGGTCTTATTTAGTTTACAGTTACTCCTTTTTAGCTTTTAAAATTACTCCCACAAAATCCACACCTCTACAGTGGAAAAGGAAATTAAATTCTCAGAGATAAGATCA